GGATTATTCTCCCATGTTGACCGAACTGCATTGGAATCTCCATAGTTGACCGAACGGTCATCATGGAGGGGTGGCGGAAAAGCAAGAATAAAATAAATGACTATTTTTGCCAGATAGCCATTTGTCTCAAAGTCCCCAATAAATCTGAGCTGCATTCCCTCAAACAAAACTAGTGTCCCATTATGTAACCAAACGGTCTTTAGGAAAGGGAGAAAAATCCACAACACTGAGAGGAATAAGACGCTTTCCGTTTTATATAAAGTAAAATTCCAGAGCAGATTGTATCTGATGACTCACAATCAGGACAACGGGTTCACATTGTGTTCAAATGTGTTTTGTTCAGCACTGTCTCCTTTTATTGAGTCATGTTATTTAGCAAAGTTTTAGCATTATCATAGTGGGGGGGGGAAACAGCCAAACTTCTAATCTGCAAACAATCCATACTCAGAAGGAAAAAGCCCAGAAGCTGCTTTGCAAAAGGACAGAGACCGGCATTTAAACTCATAATCATCAAACTGTGTTTTGGATACATTTGGATTCCTCGTCCGGGTCTGGGACACTTTCCTCCAGTCCTCATGAGTCTGATTTAGGATCAAGGAAATCAAAGAGCGACTCCCAGGCCAAGTGAGCTGAGAACATGTCATCACGTGACCCTTTGGGAGGTGGAGAGTTTGAAGGTGGAAAAGATAAATTTTACATGGCTCAGACAGAGAGTAACTCTGATGGGAATCCCCCCATCTCCTTCAGCACCACAGAAGCTGAATTGACACGTTCCCCTCTGCCCAGGCTCCTTGTTATAGTTAAATACGTTTTAAATGAGGATAAGGGTACCAAACATCACTGCTATTCATCCCAGCTCGGAGCAACGTGACAACAACTGGAAATGAGACGATCGGTCCCCAAAAAAGGGACTCGTGACTTTAACAATTGCTTTGCAGTGGGAGGAGGAGTATAAATGTGATATAAAGGTTTGTTGAGATTAGGAAAATGACAGAGATTAGGTCAGGTCATGAGGAAACATTCCCTATAACCTGGGCATCTAGACATGGGTCAAGAATAGCTGAGGTAGCTCACGCCTCGAAAAATCACAGTGGAAATGAATATTTTACCTCAATGAAGCTAGCTGAGATAACCCCAGTTACCCCCATCTGTGTCTGAAGGACATTCCTGGCAGGCAGGACGTACAATCGCATTATTGTTAGAAAGGACCTTGGGCTTCACCCAAAAGAAGGCCTAGCTGCAAAAGGCAGAAGTTGGCAACTCCACTGAGGGACCACCGTGAAGCAAATGGTGCAAACAGCCTTGGAGGTCACTATATGGGAATTAGCAAAAGTATTCAAGAAAAAAAAAATCTTTCGACAACCATAGACAAGGTCTTAATTATGGCTTATTGCCCTGGCAGATTCTCTGATGATAAGTAAGGGCTGAGCTCTGATGGAAGTTTTTCCTACACTCACTGCATTCATAGGGCCTCTCACCTGTGTGGATTCTCTGATGCGTAACCAGGGCTGAGTTACGTGCGAAGTTTTTCCCGCACTCACTGCATTCATAGGGTCTCTCTCCGCTGTGGATTCTCTGATGGGCAATCAGGGCTGATTTGTCAGTGAAGCTTTTCCCGCACTCACAGCATCCGTAGGGTTTCTCCCCTCTGTGTATTCTCTGATGTGCAATAAGCGCTGAGCTCTGAGTGAAGGTTTTCCCGCACTCACAGCATTCATAGGGTCTCTCTCCTGTGTGGATCCTCTGATGCGTAACAAGGACTGATCTCTTAGTGAAGGTTTTCCCACAGTCACTGCATTTATAGGGTCTTTCTCCTGTGTGGACTCTCTGATGTATAAGAAGGTCTGAGCTTTCAGTGAAGGTTTTTCCACATTCACTGCATTCGTACGGTCTCTCCCCCGCATGGATTCTCTGATGTCTTATAAGGGCTGAGCTCCGAGGGAAGTTTTTCCCGCACTCACAGCATTCATATGGTCTCTCTCCCCTGTGGATTCTCTCATGGATAGTAAGGTTTGAGCTCTGAGTGAAGCTTTTCCCGCACTCACTGCATTCATACGGTCTCTCCCCCGTGTGGATTCTCTGATGTGCAATAAACGCTGAGCTCTGAGTGAAGCTTTTCCCGCACTCACTGCATTCATACGGTCTCTCCCCCGTGTGGATTCTCTGATGTGCAATAAACGCTGAGCTCTGAGTGAAGCTTTTCCCGCACTCACTGCATTCATACGGTCTCTC